TGCGACCCGAGCCCGGCCCGGCTCGGCCCGGTTCGTGTCGGTGTGCAGCCTCGCGCCGCGTATCGCCCTGCTCCTCTCCGGGGGTCGCCAGCGCGGCCGTGCGTGACGGGGCTGGGGGCCTCCTTAGTCGGCTCCAGTGCAGCTCAGCCCTGTCCATTTAGGTTCAGCTCTGCTTTTCGTGTTGGACCACACTGGAAGGAAATGACCTGCGTGGGCAAGCTCCTTTTGCTCATGAGGTGCCCTGACTAGCAGGTGGCATTCACTCATGCAAGAGCTTGTGTGAAGGGGAAGGACCTGAGAGAGTTAATGAAACTGTGGTGATGCTGACAGTAGGGACCAGGTGATGCACGATGCATTTCTCCCATGTGTACCAGCCACCCTGACTTCGTGTGCTTTGCGGCGTCCCAAGCTCTGCGGAGCCTGTCTTGATGGTGTGCGAGTGCAGCAGTGCTATTTCCATCTCTTCTCTGTTGCCTGGGGCAAACTGCTGCCTCTGCCCAGGTGGGATGCAGAAATGCCTGGAATTTCCTTCCCCGCGCTCCTGTTTGCCAGGGCCTCTCTCCCCATCAGCACCCGACTGAAAAGGAGCCACTGGGTCACGAGGAGGCTCCTGCAGCTGCTTGGCTCAGCCGAGCGCCACGGCTTCATCCTCTTCCCGTTCTTGACATCCTACCCTATCTCTCGGCCTCCTGTTGCTCCCTTATCTGCCCTGCAAGCTGGTGCCTTTGCTTTAGCGCTCGGCTTCCCCTGTTTGCCCAGCGCATCCGGTAGGAGAGGCTGCCTGGTGGGGGTGATTGCCCTTAGTGTACAGCTGCTTCCACTCTCCTCGCTTGCCTCGATGTGGGCATTCGGTGGAGCCTGAGAAACTGGAATCAGGTGTTTGGAATCGCAGTGGAACTAGTAGCCTTGGGGTGGTCTTGCGCGCCCACTCAGTGTACTCCGTGCAGCACCCTGTGCTTTTGACTTTTTGCAGGTTTTTAAGTGCAAAAAGCTTATGGATTCAGTATGAAAAATAAGATATATACTGGGTATTTTGCTTCTAAAGAATGCTGCAGGGCTGCATTTTCTGACTTTTCTTACATATAGGCGTTGCTATACATCCTCTAGAAAGGGAAATAATGCATGTTGCGTGTTGTGTTCTCGTTTAAACTTGTAGTGGGATCTTCTTCCTCCGAGGAACAGCATTCGCTTACCTGCTGGTTGATGAGGTGTCTATAGTGGGAGAACAGGGAGGAGAATTGGTCAGGAAACTGCAGTGACTTTGTAACGTATGTCATATTTTTGGGATCCATTCTGGCATAAGGGATTTGCATGAGTGTAACTTCTTCTGGCTTTAAAGCTGGTTTAGCTAAACCAGAATATAAGGTTCCATGAATACTCTTTCTGTGTCAGAACAACTTATTTTGGGTCAGGTAAACAACTAGACCTGATGTGATACTACAAAAACGAGCAGAGATTCTTAAATTCAATCTATTTTATTGACATAGGTAAAGTGAGTGTCTTTAATCTGGAAAAGTCTCCTGCAAATGAGCCCATTTTAGTATGTTATAACCTGTATAGCCCAGGTCTCACACCATGGAAATCATGCTTTATTTATGTGCAGAACATTAAAAACCAGCTGGATAACTGCTTCAACTTGCATTGCCTGGTGGAAATGATACAGAGCTGTGGCAGGAGGTGATGGTGGCTTTATCTCAGTCTTCCAGTGTGCAAAACAAGTGCACTGTTTCCTATGAAGTGCAAATGCTGATTTGCTAATGGTATATGATTGATAATTGCAATACTTAAAGCTGGATCAAAGAAAAGCCTTTCATTACAGACATGTGCATGTTACTGCGAAGTACGTTGGGGATGCAAAGAGTGTTCAGTGCAGCTGCTCCCTTAACTGTGCCCGCGTTTGCTGCCCTCCCACATCTAATCAGGCAAGTGATACCCTGAGCAGTTCACTGGACAGCACGTGACGTGCCGTAAGCCCATGCTATAGCTTGTACGTCGTGTTCTGACGTGGAGGAAACTTGTAAAATATGTGGGAGGCACTTTCTTTTTTTTTTTTTTCTTCTAAGTTGTCTCATGCTTCGTGCTCCCTGGTGATGCCCATCTGATGTGACAAGCTTCAGACTTTGACAGAAGTGTCTTGGCAGTTTGGGCCCTGAGCTTTGAATAGCAAAACAAGAAAACATCTGAATAGCAAAACAAGAAAACATCACTGCTGCTGGTTTAGAAAGACTGGAAGACTAATTAGTTGCATAACCACTAATATATAGTAATGTGTTTAGGAAGCACCAATAAGTACCGGAAATGTAGCCATTTGTGTGTTGTCTTGCAATGACCCATCTGCATATATGGCTTAAGAGTATGTTTGAATTATTGCCCTAATACCTGCCAAAATGTAGCTTACCCTTTATGCACCTCTTTATTAAGAAGTGCTAATATTCTGCTTGCGTTATTGTTTGTTTACACCCAGAAATGTGTTCTTGAGTGACAGAACCAAGTTCCTGCCTATTTCAGGAGCATTATCCTAGTTGGGGATTTAAAGTGGGCTGAAGCTGCCAAGAAAAAGGTAGCTTTGATCATGAAAGAAAAGGTGATGTTACTGTTGAAGCGGCAGAAAAGAAGTAGGTTATATTTAATGTGCTGTCTTTCTCTTATTGCAGCATGCAAGTTACATAATTTTTACATAAATATGGCTTTTATGTTGCGAGCAGGTGGAACAGAGTTTGGGTGCTCGAAGGATGGGCGCATATTTTTGTACCTCTGGTTGCTTCTGGCCTTTTTCATTAGTGCTGTAGAAATTGCAACAGTTGCAAGCTTGGAAATTGAGCCACTGTTTTAACTATGCAGCTGAGTGAAGATGTGGAGCAAGTATCTCAACACCCAACAGATGAGGGAGAAGGAGAGATGGAAGATCATGAAGATACCAGCTCTGTTATTTTACCAGGTGAGAGCTAGTGAACCAGAAATCATTGACTGCTAAGCCTGCTAAGCCGTTTCTGTGTGCGGTGTCTTTTGTTTTTGTTTACTTAGTTGCACTTCTGACAGCAAGTGAGACACTAAATAGCTTAGCGTGTATAAATACTAATGGAAAGTTAAATTTTTCCAGGAATTGAAATGAGAACCCTTCTTTGTTGTGAGCTGTGCTAGCTAAAAGAGATTCTGAGATAGCTTTATACTTTTTTTTTTTTATGTTGAACACCTCTAACCTGAATTGCAGTGTTGATGATGGCAGTGGATTGTAAGCAAAGTGAGTGCCAGATGAGCAAGATGCAATATGGAACAGATGTGCTCTTGAACAGATTGTAGATAAGACTATTCAGCCCCACTTTTTGATGGGGAGGGGAACATAGTGTCAAATGGTTTTGTTGCAGCTGAGGTTTAGGCATTAGATTATACCAACCTGAAATGGGTATCCCCAGAGATTTTGCAACTGTTCAACATATTTTTTTTTAAGTAGTAATGTAATTTTGTGCATACTGATATCCTAATTCCCTTTACTACTATCTCCTGACAGTGAGCTTGGGAACACGTGTGTGGCCATAAACCTTTATGAGAGGGTATGTGCTTTGCAGGAGCTATTAAAAGGCTAGTGCTTGCTGTGGTAAGGAATAAACAGCAAAACGTACTATTACAGTTGAAAAGCGGAATGTGGCCTGGCCTGAGAGCGCCTGACTCATTAAATTACACCTCACAGAAAAGTCAACTTAAAATGTGCCTACTTATCTCCTTTTATATGTTGTTTTTTTACTGCTTATTTTGTGTATCCAGCTATATATCGCTCACAGTCAAACTGTGACATGTGGTACTCAAGAATGCCTGACCTTTTTCCTCACAAATGTTACCCAAGGAAGTAGAGAAAGCAAGGGGCAAGGGGAAGCACTATCTGCATGGCTGTGCATCTACAAGAGAGGCTAGTGTGAAAATCTTCAGAGAATAGGCTTTGAAGAAAGGCAGAGTTTGAGAGAACCTGGTTTGTCTTTTTCTAGATGCAGTTGGAAGAGTCCTTCTTTTGTGAAACTTCTGTAACAAGCGCAAGGAGTTAGAATTTGGACTTCAAAAGTGAGAGTAGCAAGGACCTAGTCAGATCTACCATAGGGGAGTTGCACTGCAGATAGGTGTGTAAGAGTATCAAATCTCTCTGCTGATTTATATGCTAAATGTGGTCAGAAACAAATTCAGACTGGGAGGAGGGGAAGAAGATACCTTTTTTTTTTCTTTTCCTCTTTCTCCAAGAGGAAAGATTGACCATTAGCAGACTCTGTCCATGAACTTTGAACTTTGTTTCTGAACTGGCTTTCTTGAAAAAAACCTTTGCTTTCTGCCTTTCTTGTCCTTAAGCAGAGTGCCAAATACAACATGTGAGAAAGAGGCATGGTCTTTTGATGATTGTGCCTCATGTTTGACAAGGAAACAACTGTCTTACCGCTCATCAAAAACAGCAATAATTGTGTTTTATTAATCAAACAGCTGGCGGTTTACTCTCCTCTCAGATTAATCTTAAATGAATATTGCATAAATTCAGCCCAAAAGTCTGTATTTTAAAGTCCTAATTCATGCTCTGTTTGGTTCCAGACAGTGAACTGGGTCCCAGTGCCCCCTATTTGCGTTTCAGCAAGACCTGCCTAAAGAATGTTTTTTCAGTAATTCTCCTGTTCATTTATCTGCTGCTTATGGCTGTAGCTGTGTTCCTTGTCTACCAAACCATCGCTGACTTCAGGGAGAAGCTCAAGCACCCAGTGATGTCTGTCTCTTACAAGGAAGTGTCCTTGTATGATGCACCTGGTAAGACGAGTAATGGACAAAGCGTCTTTAGTTACTGTACACATTTATCCTGGGTTTTTATATGGAATAATTTTTGATACTAATTCTCCAGAGCCCACCGTTCCATATAATGTTTCCATGCAGATTTTCCACTTAGTCTTGTTTAATCTATGGGGTGTTGTGTGGATTGTTAGCATTATAGGACAGGCTTCTGGGCCTGTTGAGCACTGGCAAGGTTTTGGCCAGTTGGTCACTGATTTTTTCTCGCCAGTAAATCAATGGCAGGGGCTGTGGAATCTTATACTATGTTTAGTAGATAGGTTTTTGCAGACTCAAGAATTGGCCCTTTTTAGAGGTAAGAAGATCATGCATTATAGAAGTACTCCCAAAGGTGTTTCATTGAGCAGCGTAGCACGCAGGATCTGTAGCAGGACCTCAGCCCTGCAGTGTAAAATCAGGTACTGCTGACAATAAAGGAGGCGGATTTATCAAACAACCACCAAATGATCACAGTGCTTCTTTCTGCTTCTGTTCTGCAGTGTTTACTACTTGCTGTTACATCAATAGGCAATGACAGCATGATGTGACTGGGAGGAAGAGTGTTGGCATAAAAATGCAGAGCAGCATCGGAGTGCTGTGCTGCACTTTGTAAGTGGGTTTACTCCACAAAAGCATTTTTGAGTAGTGACTTCCATTATTATTTTAATTATCCTGTAACTGTTCATAAACAGAGCTGCGGTAGCAAATGCAGCGCAAGCAGCATTGGAAGCTACTTGTAAGTCAGTTTCCAATGTCAAAATAACACTGTTGTTTGAAGTGTCAGGGCATTTTACAAATACCTCCCTGCAGCAGTTGTTGCTAAAAGGTGTTGCATGCTGTTGACAGCTTCCTGCAGTTGTTTTTCTGTATGGTCAGTTAGGCTCAGCTCTGTAAGTATGTTCTTGGATCTGACTGTAAGAGCAGCCTTTCCCTGTGTTTTTAGGTGGGCTTTTCATACAGCGAGAGGGGGGAAATGCCATTTAGAGAAACAGAACAATGTGACTAAATCTGAAAGTATTGGCAAGGGCTCCTGCTGCATCAGAGAACATAGAGTAGCCCTTTACTGCTTTCTGCTGTTGAAGTGACGGGATTCCCAGTTGCAAGCTTGGAGTACTGAGCAGGGGATAAATTGTTTGTAGATTTAACGTATTCTGACTATTTTGACATTTTGCGTTTTGGCAGGCAAGTTATTTCTGTTGTGCGAAGTACTGCATCATACTAATAACTCAGATTATAGTTACCTTTCAGTAATTGATCTAGATTATCTTCAAGTGAGTTTGCTTCCAATATTAAATGTGGCATGAAAGGATTAGGTTGGGGGGTTTGTTTTTTTACTAGCCTTCTAGGAGATGAGAAAAATACAGTACAGCCTTTTTTTTAAATGGATGCTCTTGGTCTACAGCCATTGACTTATGGTATATACAAGTAGATGAATTTCCATACAGGTGAAAAAGGGGCCTGCTCACCTGATAATATAGGCAATAAGGGATGGTAACTGTTTGGAATTGTTGGATGGCTTTGATTTTTTATCATGACATATTATTTGGTGAACAGAAGATACACGAGCATCTTTCAGCTTCATTAGATCATTATTTCTGATTGTCTGAAGTTTTGACATGTTAGAAGACAATATTTGAAAACACACTGAATATTTGAAAATACACACCCACTGCTTACACTGAAGCACTTCATGCTGCGCTTGACTGAAGTGGTCTCCTGACTTAGGCATTCTTCTCACCTGCGGCCAGAGGACCTGATTTTGGGGAGGGCTGGTGCAATTTAGTAACTCCTGTGAACCTTGAATCATGTCAGCAGGGCATGAAGGCAGGTTTTCTGCAGGGCTGCTGTCCTGATGTGGCTGGCACTGCTCTCCTGCTCTTGCACAACACGGAAGCACGTGGTTTAGCTGAATTCTTTGCTGGATCTTGGCAGGATAGCACAGCATCCTGTGGGATTAAATCCTAAAATGCAATTCCATGTACTTGGGAAAGAAATCAGCTGTCTTCCACCTTTTTCGTCCCAAACAGGTATTGCCTTTTACCCAGGCAAGGCTCGGCTGCTTAGCTGCAAGCATCATTACTATGACCACATTCCGCCTCTGATAAATCCCGGTCAGCCAGGAGACATTGAGTGCATCACTCAGAGAATCAACTACACAGACCCTTTTACTAACCAGAGCATGGTAATAGTAACAGAACAAAACTTAGTCTGTGTTTTTTTGATTTGTTCATAATTTGAAAGTAAAAATATAGCCCAAGTGCTGCAAAAACTCCAGTGCTGCTTCTTTTTTATTATTATTATTTTGTCTCTTTGTTTTCAGAAATGTGAAGTAGGTGTGTGTGTGTATGTTATGGATGATCAGCTGTTGTGTGGATGTGTATAGCATGAAACCCACACAAAAAAAATCCAGAAGTCTAATTTCTGACAGTGCAACTCTTGCATCTTTTTTTTTCCCAAATGAACTAGCAAGCAATCTGCTTGATATTGTAAAACTAGCTTTGATTGAAAGCAGTAACAGTTACTTCATTAAATAAGGATATCTTCTGTGTTTTTGTGTGTTTGGTGGAAAGGAAATACTGTTTTTGTCACACTTGGAGTAATTCAATTGGACACCAAGCGTTTCATTACATCAAAACACAGAATATAAGGTGAGCCAAAACATGGATGCATGGAGTCTGTCTTAAGTCGCCCTTAAAATGCAGCAAATCTAGCTCCTGAATGGATAAATGTTCAGAAAATATAGTATATTAAATATGGTACTTTGTATGTCATCTAAAGTTGTTGCTCAGATTGTTTTTAAGGAAGCTAAAAACTAAGAAATAAACTGTTTACCTGTTCGGCCTGTCTTTTTTTCCCCTTTGTGTTTTGCTTTTCATCTGGTCACCATTTTTTTGTTTGTTTGTTTGTTTTTGTTTTCTGGGAAGTAGCTCCTCAGGTTTATTTAAAACTAAGGTTCTAGGTGCAAGTCTGGTATTTTGTTTCGGCCGCTATTTCTCTTTGCGTACATTTTAAGAGCTTGCATCTTGTGGAGCCCTATGTTCTCCACGTCAGACTCCAAATTAACTTGTTTATATTGAGAGCTGAAAGTTTCCGGGCTTTAACGCTCAAAACAGTTTTGATTTTCTTCCTGCAGAAATGCAGGTTGAAGAGCTTTAGCTGTTAATTCCTCACAAGAAGCCAAATGACTGTGATAGAACTAAAGCAGATTTCTTAGGGAAAAAAAATCTTGGTTTAAAGTCCTTATTCTTGCACTAAAAGTAGGACTTTAAGTATGCTTTGGCATTCTTGTTAGATATTTTAATAGATGGTACTTAATAGGGGTCTGGAAAATCTCTGTGTGTATTAGATTTCTATAGGGCGTTTGTGACAGATGGCAAAATCATGAACAGGAAATGAGGATTCCTCTCTTATTCTCACTGTCTGTCTGCTTGCAGAAATATGCTTTGGTTGTTCAAGGCCCTCGTGATGTGAAGAAAAAAGAGCTGGTGTTTTTGCAGTTTCATTTGAATGGAACAGACCAAGACTTTAGTGCAATTGACTACCTTCTGTTTTCTTCCTTCCAAGAGTTCATCAACAGGTATGCACAGAAATAAAGGGAGAAGTCCATAATTTCATTGAACTTGCTATCACAACAGTGCTGATGAAAGCAAGGTTATTTAAATGGAAATTCCAGAGCTTTATGATAATTCCCATCAAGTTTGGGTATGTTTGGATTAGTTTGATACACTTACACCTCTTATCGTTTCTAGTTGCTAAAATCACGCTTTAAAAAATGAACTGAGGACATTTTCAGTGACAAAAACAGCCTTTCAGTCATGCTTCAGTCATTTGAGGCTTTAATCTCTAAGTTTGAAGAGGGTGCTGGCCATGGGTGATGAGCAAGTGGACTGTCCCAGCCGGTGTGATGAGGAAATGCACTGAAAACATCTGAAGTTCTGGCAGGGTTGGTTGGTTGGTTGTGTATTTCTCTTTTAATTATAATAGAGATCAAATCTTCAACTGAGTTAATTGTGACCAGTGAAAGATTAAGCATATTTGTTTATATTACTCGTTTTATGTAAGATGCTACAGAACGATGTAATTCTGTGGGTGATGCTTTCAAAAATACTGTTTATTGGTTTAATGCTGGTGCTGCTGGAGTGACTAGTGGACTTCCATTAATTTTAATAGGAACAGAGTTAATCGTGTCTTGATCCTTCTTTAAAATCTCACTCCTTTTCCAGGCTTGTATGAATAAACTCCACACTTAACTATTTATTTCTGTGTTTAATTTCAATTCAAATTAATTTGTGTCTCTGATCCAGATTAAAACACTGGACAAGAGCCGTTAGTGGCAGTGAGGTCTAACAGAAACCTTTGATTTGAGTCAGAATGCAAAGAGATAGGGAATAAAGGGCCTGTGCAGGATGGAAAGGTGTGAGGGAGGCAGAGAGAAACAGCCCTAGAGATTTCACTGTACCAGGCGTTCTTGGAGGCTGCGCTGTGGTCATGCTGGGCCTAGCTTGAAGGTGGAGATTGGGCCAAGGTGGGTGAATCTCACTGCTGTGAACATGTGTGAGCTGCAAGGGAGAAGCCTGGCCCCAACCTCCTGCCTGCGGCTTGGCCCGGCCAGCAGGCTCAATGGCAGAACTGATGCGGGAAGAGGAAGGGAAATGCCACCTCGTTCCTAAAGAGCTGCCCCTTCACAGTGTTGGAAGGCACCGGAGCTGAAGCTGGGAGAGTGAAGGCTGAGTGTGAATTGGCTAATTTATCTTGCTCAGTAGTGTGTATTGCTGTCCTAGTGTCCCGGGACATGAGCTGGACAGTCTGGGGGCAGGTTGAAAATGTAAGTTTTCTCCTACATGAAGTGCCTGTGAAATTTCATGTTACATGAAATGCTTTTGTTCTGTCCACTTCCAGCAGAAGAGAAAATAGCAACGACTTCCTTCTGGCTGGTCAGCTCATGCCATATTTAGCTGATGGAAAGTCAGGACTAAAATATCCTTGGAAACTGTAGTGTGTTGACAATGTAAATTTTGTCCTGAACAAGCCCTACGTCTCCACTTACGGGCTGCCATTATCTAATTTTCCTGATGAAGTCTCTCACTTACTGGTTCTGAGAGCATATTACCAGCTCTGCATCTGGCAGCTCATGTAAAGTAATTGTTACTAAAGATGACAAGAGATAGGATAATTCTCACCAGATATAATTATCTTTACAGATGTTTGCCATGGCTGCAAACTGCTTAGGTTGGACTTAGATGAGCAGACTGTGGTAAAATATCCTTACAGGGTATTCCGTCATCTTAAACCACAATTCCAAACCCCTTAAAGTTGGTGGAAAGAGTCCTACCGTACCTACACCACAGTTTCTCTGTAGGCATCAGTATGTGCAGCTCACTGTTGCTTTAAATAGCAATAACCCGATCACGGAGGCTGCTGCGAGCATCAGCCAGCAGCAGTGCCAGGAGTGGTGCTTAGAGACCTGGTAACTTTATGAATGTTTTTTGGGGTGTAGCTAAGTGGTGAGGACCTGGGCAAGGTGCACTTGTTTCTGTCAGGGCTTTTATTCGGTGCAGCTCTTAGGTTAAGCCTGTATCACCCGACCACACCGGGCAGGCCCTGCTCTCTAGCTGGGCTCTTGCTGGCGCGCTGTGGGGCCGCGTGCCGTTGGTGGCCTGGCACCACTGCGAGGCTGCCACTGCCTTTTGTTTCTCTCTTTGAAGTCAGTGGCAGCTGCTGTCTCTGCCATATTAATTGCAGGGAAGGAAATAATGAAACCCTTGCAAATCACAAAAAAGTGAAGCTAAAAATACAAGTTCCTTTCTCAACTGTTATTAGTGTAATACATGGGTTTAAGAAAAAAAAAATCCTCTGAACATGTTACTGTCAAAACTGTTGTCAGCTCAGCATGTAAAATCCTGCGTGGGCCGTGGGCTCGGGGCAGGCGCCGCGGGAGGAGGCCGGGCAGCCCCGAGGTGTCCTGGCTGTGCCCGTGTCCCTCCTGCTTCTCCTTCCTCTGCTGTGAAGTGAAAATTTCATCATTGTTTTGTGTGATATGGAGGTAGTATTAATATTTTGGGAGAACCCAGGAATTTTACAGTACACCAAAAGCAAGTGTAAGTTTTCAAAAGGGTAATAGGTAGAGAAGCCTAAGTGTGTAGCATTTGTAGGATGTCTGCCTGTCTTTGGGGTGAATACAGGGAGCTCCTCAGATAACCACTCCACAACCTCTCCTCCAAAGAAATGAAGCTCTCTTTTTCAAGACTGCCATTGCAGTTGAAGGCCAAGTGTGCTGTTGCTGTGTGCTTGCCATGGAAGCTGTAGCCGTGTAATGTTAAGATTCATTTCGTGTCTTCCTGCCTGGATTTTCCACGTCGGTTTGGAAAGCTTTTCCAGGCTGCCATGCCGTGTTGAGTCACGCCGCGGGCCCGTGGCTGGGCTGGGGTGCCCAGGATGAGTGTTCCCCGCGCAGCAACGCGCCCTGCGCCGCCTCGCTCTGCCGCCGGCGCCCGCTGCAGCCGCGCGTCGCAGGAGGCCCCGTCACCCCCTGCGTCCCTGCCTGCTGGGGCACGGGGCGCAAAAAAAAACGTCACCCCCCGTCCCTGCCTGCTGGGGCACGGGGCTCGTGGAGGGATGCGCTGCCATCCTCTGGGGGTGACCGAAGAGCTAGTGTTGCAAATAGATCAAGGTGTTCCCAAGCAGCTAAAATGCTTTAGAATATAATCTGCTTAGGCATGGAGAGAAGTGTATTATTTTTTCTTTCCAGAAGTGCTTCCTCTTTCTGTCTGCACCACACAAGGGCTCCCCCACCTGAAGCCCTGATTTGAGATGGTTGGCTTTGGGTTTTGCTTCTTACAAGTGTGTGCTTGTTCACTTGCTAGGCTCGAGCAGGCGCCGCCGTACAGAGCAGCCA